TGTACAAACTCTGTAGAATAGAGTGCAAGAAAAGTTCTGCCAATTTTATCAAATACGTCAAAAGTAAAAATACTGCACAAGCAAATAAATCCATTCAGTTGGAAGAATGATCACGTTTATCAGATCAGCAACTATAACAGTAAACAAAGAAGTTTATAACTAAATCTCAAAATTGTCTTCTTCAGGCTATATACAACAACAAAGTTGCTGCGAAAATTTCCAACCGTGTTCGCTCACATTACCACCGTATTTCGTCCCGAGTGCGTGTTAAAGCCGTTTGAAACGCCTTTACGGTAGTTAAGCAAGTAGTACGCCTTTTTCCTCCACTATGGGTGACGGGATAATCCGCTGAGTTGAGATCCGGCGAGTTCTACGGTTGAATGTCTTAGCTACAAAAACCTGGAAACTCTTGATAGATGGTAATTGTTGAGTGGGCCGTAACCACAGGAGCCCAGCCCTGTTTAAGCGCAAATTTGTCGGCGCTAAAGTGCTGAGTAGTTTGAGGCTGCATTACGACCCATTAAACTTGTTGCAGATTACCAGTAGCGCTGATTTTGACATTTCTGTTAACAAAGAACAACGGCATCTTCCCTGTGGAGCAAATGGTGGCTCAGACCATCACAGAGGCCGAAAGATGACTGCGGCCCATGGTTTTTGCTATGCGGAATTCTGTTGACCATTCTTGGGAAGTTTACTTCGATTCTGGCGATGATAGAGTGCCTCGCCAGTGAATATCTTTTTATCCGTAGAAGGCACCTTCGACAAACGAGCACCGAATCAGTCGGCTATCCTTTGAACGCCATTTTTCTTTTATCATTTTGTTCAAGAAGTGAAACCGAGAGAACATGTAGCTGCCCACCTTCAGCTTATTCATGACTATGTTTCGGGCACTCCACTCGCTGATCCCGAGCTTCCCGAGTCATTTAGCGCATCGAGCGCTCCAGATTTCATTGAATTTATCAGCGTACCTTCTGAATATTTTTCCAAGTGAAAGAGCTGTTAGGACAATATTATCGAAGGCGGTCCTCAATCCCTTCAGTATCTTTAAAACTTTTACAGCTCTGTAGACACTTGCTGGTTTGAGACCAGTGATTTTTGACAACGGCGACCAATTTCATCCCTGCCTTGTGCAAGTTAAGTATTGCGATATGTTTAGTTTTACGATCTATAACTTAAGCACAGCTGAAATTGAACAAGTAAATAAAGCAGGCTCTAAACCAAATTGGCAAAGAATCTAATAAAATTATCAAAATCAATGAAAGAGTAATTATATCAGTGATGAAATTAACAAATTACAAAATTGACAGAACTTTTCTCGGATATTTTACGTCCACTTTAGTTGGTGAAATTATGATAACCTGTGAAATGTCAAAGGGCCTATAATGATGGAGCCTCCACGGTCACTTACCCGTTTACCTTATAATGAAAATTTCGTTATAGAGGTTAATGCTTTGAAGTGTTCAAATCATAAACTTTGCTTAAGAGTCAACTAGTACAGTGATAAGGGAATATTACAGTCTTTGCCTTCTTAATGATGTATGAACAGTGCCATATGTTAGCACAAACCGCACTGCATCCCACAGTATTGCTTCCTCTGCTCAACAGTGCAGAAAGAGTTTGTGCAGAAAGCATTTCTGACCCAATGGGCACAGCTAAATATACATGTATTCAAAATTATGCCTGTCTTACTGATTTTTCTGACCCGTTTTAAGGTAGGGAATTCACCTTGGGTTTGATCCGCACGAACCTGAAAGTTATTGGATTGAACTGAGAGCTACTCGTATCAGAATAAGCAATCTCGCTTCGCGATCTTTTTCAATGTGAAAATTTTTGTGTTGGTAGATGTTAAATGAAGGATTCAAGTCCCTGAGGGCATCAATTTTAAACACTACTGGTTTTTCACCATTTTGTGAGTATTCTTAATCGTTATCAATCGTTGGTGGGTGCACATTTCACTTAGCAGTAATGAAAACTTGTGTCTGATGTATTCTCTAGAAGTGCTTCCATGAAACAATGTCTAGTCTAGAGAAAAACATTTTCATTAAGGAAGCTACCTGTCTCAGGAGACCCTTTTGTTACAGTTTTGCAAAATCCGCAAGTTCACTTGCGATTTTCCTGAAAAATAAGCAGACATGAAGAAGTGTTATTTTTCAAAGATTTTCACAGAGTATAATAAAATGTAAGGCAGAAAGCTATAAACTCGACTTATTACGACAAACCATTGCATACCCTTATAAATGCTTGCGTATCCACTTGTCGGCAATTAGAGAGATTTCTATTGCAGAATCACACATTCACATAAACACAACATTTAGCACTTATTAAAACTGTTTTAAAAGCAAATGGAGATGTCCATAATAAAATCTACTGATATAGGCTCCACACAAACCTCAAGTTTTCGGGCAATTTTCTGCCAAAATCGGTCTCCAGTATCAATCAACACACATGGCTGGCGTAACCAGAGAGCAATTGATGTTCGAAGCTGAAATTCCAAAAAAAAAATATCTAAAGTATTAATATGATTGGTGCAATCTCACGAGTGATCTCATTCAACAAAGTACCCACTGCTTATAACTAATACAATCAGCCTTCACAACAGCGATAACTGACATTGCTTAACACTTTATTGAGTGACTCCACGAGTACTAAGGAAGCGCTTCAGAAGGTCAGATATCTTGCATATATCTGACAGCAGTAAAGTTCTATACTTCATTATGTGAAATTAAAAGAACTAATTTGATCAGAATACTCTGAGACCGTTTGATGTTTATTTGTTCTATTTATTTATTCCAGTTCAGTCTATCGAACTGCATAGGGAGTCCATGAAACATCCTGAAGAGATCAGTGTTAAACGTGGATAATACTTTAAAAGCTGATGCATCGTTGAATTGTCGAGGGACGATCTCCTAGTGATATAATTACACAAAATCTTGTCCGGTTCACATGATGCCCTTCCCCACTTTTGCATTTTTACTTATATTGTTCTTTTAACCTTAGTTATTTCCTATCTTAGTGAAAATAGTGTAATATGAAATTCTCGGAAAAGTGGCCAGATATTATTATGAAATCAATAGATATAAATTGATCAAAGTCAAAAAGACTGTACTTATTGGTCAACTTTGGAAAATTTCTAAGTTTATAGAAATTTTTTGCTTAATCAAACGCAGGCGTAATATCACCAAGTGCAGAAAGATCAAAAAAATGTTAGGAAATGTAAATAATCTTACTAATTTTCTTATTTATCCAGAGAAGATTTTGAGCATGGTAATCATTTTTTGAGCCACGCATGTGGTCTGTTATAAAACAACTTATGGAGCCCGATACATGTATTTCGATCTTGACAGTCTCATCAGTTGGGGCGGTACCCTTCGTCTTTTGCTAATCCAGCAGGGGTGCTCCAGTGCCTCATATTAAGAGCAGGCGATGAGGAACATTTGAATACTGAGCGGCACTGAACACTTCAGTAATAATTTTACTCAATGGATCTTGACAGAATGTATGTCGTCGCCTACCCTTAGTATGGGGGACCGGAGCACTCTAACAGGATTGGAAAAAGACAAAGGGTACCGACCGACTGATGAGATTGTCAAGGTCCAAATACATGTATCGGACTCTATAAGTTGCTCTATAACAAACCACTTGCGAACAATGACTATCAAGCCAAGCATATTACAATTTAAGCGTAGCTTTGAAGAAACACTCAAATCGAAATGTTTTGAGTTTTTTTAAGGTTTGATGTGTCAATGGTTTTCAGATGTTTTGGCGGTCTCGCCCGCCTCATCAGAACCATCCGCCTCACCAGTCAATCCTACAATCGTAGGTAAGAAGACACAGCATATTAAGATTAGCCAACGTGAAATATTGCCTGAACCATTCAGTTGATGACTTGCTGCTGATTTTCTTTATATAGGCATTGCCTTTCAATGAACTGTTTCAAAATCAAAAGTTCCATGACAATGTCTTCAAAAGCAGTCGATCAAAAAACATAAATTAACTTGTATATTAGACGACAGACTTACACCGTTTGTTTTGACAACTGAACTCCGTGTGTTACAGCAGTAGCCACAAGTCTGAGGGCAATAATTAGTTACTGCCTGTACCAAGTCTTGATTCAGATTCTGCTCAAGCTAAAAGTTCTAGTTGACAAGGAAATTTTCAGGACCCAGATTCAATAAAATCATGTTGAAAGCTGCAAGATTACAGAAATAGTGATTAAACTAAACTTGGAGCGCCATGTACTTGTAATGGACTCAAACCGCGACTATGTTTCCAGGCAGTGCATTTCGGCACTACACTGTCAAAGCCCTAGTCCACCTTCTTCTACTACATCAAGGCTCGTATTGTGTTGTTGTCTGAACATTCCCCTGCCATTATTTTACATCTTACCTTGCTATTGAAAATGAGTTAGACGGTAGGTAGATGTCAACAATACTTTGAAAAGGCTAAAAAAATTTTGTCCAGTCATTATCAATAATAGCCAGGTACAACTGAGAAAATGTTCTCACCTTGTAGCAATTTTCGTTTCGATTATCTTCACTATACACTATCAAAGCTTTTACATAGTGTTGCAAGCAGACATCGTCCCGTAACTTATCCTGACAGTTCACTGCGGTTTGAGCGTACTGAAACGAATTCAGTTCTTCGGACATCTGGCGGAACGCGAGAATTCTAACGAATGTTTTTAATCAGTTGGGGGCAATAATCATAATGAAGGTGACGAAGTTAATGCTCTTCGGCTACACTATCTTCTTACATTGACTCGTGTGTCTGGAGTTTTGGGGATTCTGTCATTTTTGTTCTGCGCACGTTGGAAATTTTTACTTCCTACTTACTTTTCTGCAAAACAAAGTTAATTCTAAATTCTTTCTATTTTGTCTGCCACTTGCAGTGATATGATCTTATACTATACCCAATATGTGGAGTACTGTGCAAAAGCGTTTGCGTCAGCCGGGATTCGAACCCAGATCTCACTCTTTCCTGGAGCGTATGCTGTAAAACGAGCGTCGGCAGTGCAATGGTTAGCATACGCTCCCGGAAAGAGTGAGATTCGGGTTCGAATCACGGCTGACGCAAACGATTTGCACAGTACTCCACATATTGGGTAAAGTTGATTCTTTCGTGCAAAACTACAGGAACATTCACGATGTATTACACACGTGTAACTTATTCCTATAACTCTTTTTTCCAAAAGCGTTTGCCAAAATATCAGAAGATTCTATTTGCTTTGGATTACCAGCTTATGCCAAGCATTTTTATGAGTAGAATAAAATCAATTTCATGCAGCTTTTTCATAGGTTGCCCTCCCAAAAGACTTTAGACATTGTTACATTAGAAATAGTTTGTTCGGCGTAAGTTGTGGACAAACAAATCGGAGTATCTCATCAATTACTAGTTATTTGACTTACTCCAAATATTTTCACTAGAATCACTAACTCAGTCACACATACCAAATGACCCAACCTACAAAGACGTCTTAAATATAGCTAAAAATATCAATAGATAGGATGTTTATGTGTTATTCCAGCTATACGAGTTATGTGAAGCTTGAAGAGCACGACAAAAAATGCTTCAAAGTACCACATAATTTGAGAGAATTTTTGAATGTCGAGACAATATAGCATGTCGAGAGAATTGGGACATTATATCAAGGATGGTCCTTTTCCATTTAGCACGTCTGTGTGTCAATAATTCCTATTCTGGGAAGGATTAATCGCGATAGAAGATACACAAATCTTTCTCAAATTTTTCACCGAGGTATTCTTTGCAGTTGAAATTAGCAATGTCTCCTTCCAAAGAATCAGAGAGAAGCATCATCGATGCGAAAGTGCAAGGTATTTCTGAAAAATCATTTAACCTTTCAACGACTTGAGATTGACAACAAAATGAATACAAATGAGCCAGGCAAACCTTTTATACCGTCTTTCCCATACAATTGTTAGTAAAACACGATTAACATCACCAGTGGATGATACTAAAGCTGTGCACTCTTGCATGCTCTGGTTTTCAAAACATCTATGAAGATTTATTTGAATTTCTAAAAACTGCAAACTCCCCAGACGAAAAAGTTCGATTAGTGAAGTTTCTGAGGCTGAAGTGGTTTCACTAATATATTGTGGATCAAGGCACTTCGCAAACGATGCTTTTGCCCTTAAGAGGAGTCTAGTGCATGGTATTTTGTGTTTATTCTAATTTGCTTTGTATTTGTGTCCTTTGAATGGTGTTATGTTGCGCTCTGTTCATTATTGACAATGTTATCGTTATTTTTATGTTTAGTAATAACGTTCGCAAGCTCGAAAATTGTTGGTCAAAAATCACCTGCTAACAAAAATTAAAAACTACAGTACTTTCAAGAGGTATCAATTTTTCAAAGGATCACTCCGTCCGGAACGGGTTGAAGGACAAAACGTCAAATCGCACGGCTTCGAAAATCCTTAGGTATTCGCCGTTGTTTCGAGTCCACTCATAGCATCATGGAAATGATTGAATGTACGTACACCTAACCTAAATTATTTGAGAGGGCTTACCATGCATCAGTATTTTTATTTTCGCCCGGAAGTTCGATATTAAGCAGGTAACTTGAAAGGATTGTTTTTTTTTTGGTGTACATGGAAGTAAGCTGGAAATATTAATAGTGTGTTTTCATCAGCACTTTTGTTCCGTCAACCTCTAATGACTGCCATGAATGAAGCCAACCATCATTTGTTGGATTTGCTCTTGCCATCACCAACCGGATAAATTTGTTTAGGCCTCTATGGTTTGCTTTCACAAGGAACAGTACTAACCCTCACGATGTCTTACATAGTTGACTTGTAACAGCTAATATGATTAAACAATTTCTGGAAAGACTAGAGAAGCGGTTCCAAGGTGTCCCAGGATCCTCACTCACAATCGTTGCGGATTCTCAAGAGGTATGACAACTTGCGGGTAGGCTTCTTTCAAAACTGCACAAGACAGCTGTTTTTTGCTTCAATATAAAGTTCCCAGGACTGACTGTCTATTAACCTCGGCATGCTTCAATATAAATACAAAGTTCTCATCTCAATGCGAATATCAGAAACTCATATAACTTTGGTGGTTTAAGTAGTTGATTTATTCATATGAAATCCTCATGCAATCATTGAAAGCTTGGATTATTTTTTCTCAAAATTGTAGTGTAAATTTGACTTGTTTGAGTCTTTGCCAAAGAATAAAGAACAGAATTTTTTTAATTAAAGTTTCTATTTAAAAGATAGGCCTTTTTCAAAGTGCATTTGTATTTATAAAGCCTGACATCAAAGCAATCAATCCTGTAGAATGATTGGTATTCGGGAGGCAATCGACAAATAAACTCTGTAAGTTTACAAAAGGTTTTTTTCCTAACCGTAAAGCATTTCGTCAAAATATGACATTACAACGGCTAATAACATATCAACAAGCCTACGGTAATGTAGTGGAATTCAGAGAATCTATTAATGTAGTTTTCCTATTTCGAGTATTGACCTCTACTGCCGGTATTAGCCGTGGTTGCGTGGTTGTATTGAAGTATCCTGTGTGCATGAAAACATTAAGAGATACAGATAATGTTTGCTTGCGCAAAGAGTGAGTTGTAGACAATAACTTTCACCAGTATGTTCATTTTTTTAATTTGGTTGATGGCCTGCCTAGATTGCGAAACAACTTTTAAAGAACAAAGCTGCTACTTGCTTTGTGAGAATATTTAAAGCCTTTTGAGATTGTTGCGTCAGTGGCATACGGACGTTTAGACAGTATCGCCTATTTCGTCACTGTCGCAAGCCCTACACTGAACTCTACTTTGTAGTAGGAATGAGGAAATGTTATGTCATAGCACGTGATATTGTGTTATCACCATTTCTTCCAGTCGATGGAATACGGCTGGTAGTGAATATGTGGAAATCCATCTCATCGCCTGCTCATAAACCACGCTATAACGTCTGATATAGTCATATGCCACTGACGTACCTGCCTGAAAAATACTTTGAACATTCTCACAGACTATATTCATTGTTTATAGAGAGCTTTGAGACCAGCTGATGAGATGGATTTCTACACATTCATTACTACCCGTAATCCATCGTCTAAACAAAATAATAATAACGCAATATCGCGTGCTATCACTATAATGTCTACCTATTCCTGCTAATAAAATACGGACCAGTGTGGGGCTTGTGGCAATGATGAAGAGGGTGATATCGCCGAAACGTACGTATGCCACTTATCTACCAACCTCAAAAAGGCCATGAAACACTTTCACAAAATATAGTGAATGTTTGTAATGAGGTTCAAAAACACTCTATAAGGTGAATTACTGTTAAATGCTTGAATGAAAGTGTAGTATATAAGAGGCTTACAGTATGAACATGTCTCGATCATTCATGCCAGTGAGCTGTTGGACATCGTTGTCAAGGTGATGATCACCTTGAGAAGAGCGTGTTCTAACAGTTAACCTACTGGTCATCATCCCATCAAGCAAGTGTCGCTCGTGCGAGTTCCACCAATATTCGATTATAATACGCTACTGCAATTTCTAATTATCAGATATTATGAAGTTCAACCACGTGTTTTGCAAGACCAAGACAGTTTCGATGCTATTTTCAATAAATGCTGCATTTCGAACAGGTATGGATGTAAAGAATTTTAAACAATGGCTGGAAAAGAAATGGATCAGTGCAGTTCCAGTTTACCTGTTCGGTTTCAAAGCCGTGTTTGATACTTTCAAGGTTATGCGGTTCTTTAGTTCCTTCGTTATTGCCTTCGTATTTTTCGGTAGAGCTTACTAATACATCGACTTAATTTCATTGACTAGAATTATTTGCCCAATTGACTCACCGACATAGATCACAATATTTCGTTATACTTACTTCATCATTGAGATTTTTAGAATAATAGTAGGGCTGGTGTCAAAGAATTGCAATTCGTGCATTGTTGAAATTTGACATTTGACATTGAAATGTATTCTCTAATAAATATGCTTAAGCTACAGATCATTTTTGCGCACATTTCCGCTTTGTGTTTTGTTACTAATGAGGAATTACTTATTGTTTATTTTCTGATCATTTTAGACTACAGAAAGAACGCCAGACCAAATTCGAGTGTTTTTGTTGTTCGAGTCCAAAATGGGGGTCGTAGAACAGCAGAGGCAAGTCGCAACGTCAACGACGTATTTGGACCAGGAACTGCTAACGAACGTACAGTGCACCAGTGGTTCTAGTTTTGTGCAAGGGATAAGAGTCTTGAATATGAGGACGTTAAAAAAACAATTATTATGCAGTTACCGTTGAAGCTGGACCTTTTGGGATTACACGAGATGCTGCAGAAGAACTCAGGGTCGACCAGTCTACGGTCGTTCGTTATTAGAAGCAACTTACTAAGCCGAGGAAAAATTTCCTTAACACCCGCGAAGTGACATTTATGTACGTTCCACCCAGTATCGAAATCAATTTTGAAAGCATATCCTGGCGTGGGACGAAAAAGTGGATCTATCTGGTTAAACACGATAGGAACAATCGTTGGGTTCCAAAAAGTCTGCTCCGCCATCAATTTCACGTCAAATTTCGTTTAGCCAAAAGGTCATGATCTGCATTTGGTGGAATTTCGAAGGTGTCTAGCCTAAACTTGCTCCTAATAGCCGCACCATGAATGCCGAACTGTACTGCGAGTACCTGGACCGAGTGTTGAAGAACACTGTACACGACACTGATTCTTCGAAAGCGCGCTGTTTCAGCAAGACAATGTCAAACTTTGCACTGTAAGGAAGTCTGAGGAAAAGTTTGATGAACTGGAGAGAGTCGCTGTCTTGCTCCACTTAGCCTACAGTCCAGATCCTGAGCCATTCGACTATAGTATTTTCCGCGCCCAATGAAACATCTCCTGCTTGAACAGCGATTCGAAATATTTGATCAAGTTAGAGAGGCGCGCAGCAATTTCTCGATTCAGAGCTCAAGAAATGGCGATTTCGAGCAGATACGGAAACTTACAGATTGCTGGTAGAAGGTCGTTGATAATGGTGGTCTATATTCTGAAGAATAATTATTGCTTTTAAAGGAATTCATGCACAAACCTAAATTTCAGCTGA